GATGTAAACATTTTTGTCTTGAAGTGGTGCGCGGGTGGTGTTTTGTGCAATTTGGGCGAGGACGGAGAGCTCTGTGTAGGGCAGGACATAGACTGATTTATATAGGATAATCAAATATGCATCAAATTTTGGTTTTTATGTATGTAGGCAAAGGTATCTGTAAGTAGTTGGAAAATGTACAGTTTTTAATAAATAATAATAATAAACAAACATGATTCTTACAGCTGGTTACAACAAGGCCAATTATTCCCTGAAACAGAAGGCTTTATCTTGGCAATCCAAGATCAAGTCATAGCTACCAGAAACTACCAAAAATATATAATCAAGAATACGGAATACAATAACGACTCGTGTAGGAAATGTCACCAACACCCTGAAACAATTGACCACATAATTGGAGGATGTAAAATACTAGCTGGCACTGCATACACAGATAGACACAATATAGCAGCCAAGATTATACACCAAGCAATAGCCCTCAAATACAATCTTATTACAGAACACACACCATATTACAATTACACACCAATCACCATACTTGAAAACACTAATTACAAACTATACTACGATATCACAATTCACACAGATAAAACTGTAATATGTAATAGACCAGACATAACATTACAGGATAAAGATCAAAATATTACCTACCTGATAGATGTTGCCATACCAATAGATGCAAATACAGTAAAGAAATACGCAGACAACATTGAAAAATATACAGAACTAGCAATAGAAGTTGAAAGAATATGGAGGCAAAAGCAAGTACATATAATACCATTCATAATATCAACAACTGGAATCACACACAAAACATTTAAACATTTACAACAACTTGATCTAGATACATACACTCATCATCACATTCTGAAGGCAGTCATACTCAAAACCTGCAGCATCACGAGAACTTTCCTCAGAAATAACTAGCCAGACTTGACAATAGTCCGTTTGACTAGGATTAGAACCGGCAAGACCGAGAAAATCCAATAATAATAATAATAAACAGGTTTCATAGGAACGGAGTACATACAACCGCACTTACTGGCGATTCATTCGCAAATGAATTAGGTATAGGTATACGTAATCTTATAACTGCAATATTGATAAAGAGAAACAGATGCAGTCACTTGACCACGTGTTTACATTACCTTTATACACGCTACGGTCAAAGCAATGATTCATAACTAATGATTAATGAGAATAATTGAAGGAAGGAACATTTTTTGAACAGAATGATCCAGTAGGTACCTGCATAAAAAGTTATACTACTTTCCTTTTTCTTTTGAAAATGGGTTTTTTGTCCACTTTTGATGTAGTCGTATTGTATTACCTACCGATGACGCGTCTTTATTAATTCGATTTAGTTAAATGTAGGCAAATGAAAATTCGCTCCTACCTACGTTGCAGTATTCGTTTGAAGGGGTTATAAATTTTGTGGTAGGTCAAATATTTATATTTCCTTAATCAATTAAATTAAAAAGATCTACAAGCAACCCTCCAGTTGCCAAGTATAAATACAATTTCGTCCCGTATTAGAAGTTCGTAATTGTTATGAAAATTCGCTCCTACCTACGTTGCAGTATTCGATTGAAGGGGTTGTAAATTTTGTTGTAGATCAAATATTTATATTTCCTTAATCAATTAAATTAAAAAGATCTACAAGCAAATTTATTTGCAAGGAAAGTGTCTCGATGGACCACACAATCTTTAATAAAATAAAGTTAGACAAAACTCACCCTTTTCTCGTGGAATATATACAGGTTTCTTAGGAACGGCGTACATACAACCGCACTTGCTAGCGATTCATTCGCAAATGAATTCCGAACATACGTAATCATATTTAACTGCACTGTTGATAACGAGAAATAGATGCAATCACTTGACCACGTGTTTACAATACGTTTATACACGAACCATTAAATTTACGTACTACGCTCAAAGCAATTAATGCGGCCATTATTCATAACTGTTAAATGTGAATAATTGAAGGAACATTTTTTGAACAGCCCTCGGAATGATTTTATTTTAATCAAATATCTTCATAAAAGGCAGTTTCCCTTCTCCTAAAGTTTTGAAAGGAAACGTACCCTAAATTTATCAGATTTACCGGTGATTATGAATAATTGCCGCATTAATTATAATTTCACCGTAACATATGGAGGCACACAAAAATGATTTGTCATTATACGGTTTTCATTTAGACGATGGGGACTTTTGATGCAGTCGCCTAATCTCGAAAGTTCTTGATTTTTTGGGTTCTACCATTGTTTAAATCCACACAGCATAATCAATTATATTAAAAAGGTGTACAAACAACCCTTCAGTTCCCAAGTATAAGTAAAATCCCATCCCGTTTAAGAATTCGTAATTATTATGAAAATTCGCTCTTACCTACATAACAGTATTCGATTGAAGGGGTTGTAAATTTTGTGGTAAGTCAAATATTTATATTTCCTTAATGAATTAAATTCAAAAAATCTACAAACAACCCTTCAGTTGCCAAGTATAAATAAAATCTCGTCCCGTATTAGAATTTCGTAATTTTTATGAAAATTCGCTCCTACCTACGTAGCAGTATTCGATTGAAGGGGTTGTAAATTTTGTGGTAAGTCAAATATTTATATTTCCTTAATGAATTAAATTAAAAAAATCTACAAACAACCCTTCAGTTGCCAAGTATACATAAAATTTCGTCCCGTATTAGAAATTCGTAAATTTTAAGAACATTCGCCCATACGTACGTAGCAGTATTCGATTGAAGGGGTTGTTAATTTTATGGTAAGTCAAATATTTATATTTCCTTAATGAATTAAATTCAAAAGATCTACAAACAACCCTTCAGTTGCCAAGTATAAGTAAAATCTCGTCCCGTATTAGAAGTTCGTAATTTTTATGGAAATTCACTCGTACCTACGTTGCAGTATTCGATTGCGGGGGTTGTAAATTTTGTTGTACGTCAAATATTTCTATTTCCTTAATCGATTATAATAAGAGGATCTACAGTCAACCCTTTAGTTTGCAATTACAAGTAAAATCGCTACCCCTTTTGGAAATTCTTAATTCTTAGGAAAATTCGCTTTACCTACGTAGCAATATACGATTGAGGTGGTTGTTAAATCTGTTGTTTGTCAAATATTTTTATTTCTTTGATCGATTATATTAAGAGGATCTACAGACAACCCTTCAGTTTCCAATTACAAGTAAAATCCCAATTCCCAAAAGTCGCAATTTTTAAGAAAATTCTCTCCTACCTACGTTGCAGTATTCGGTTGCGGGGGTTGTAAATTTTGTTGTGCGTCCAATATTTCTGTTTCCTGATCGATTATATTGAAAGGATCAACATTCAGCAACAAATACGAAACACGAAACAGGACTTGCGGATCTATTCACCTGGAACCAGCATCAAGAAAGAAGTGAAATGTACACCAGTGATAAATAATAGCACAGTCGCCTCTTGTGAAAAAAAGGTTGTGAGGAGTAAGTGTAATAACTCATGGGTGGACGCCAAATTGGACCACTTAACACCTGCTCTTTTAAATAAGGAGGAATTTAATTCTTCTGGAAACGAAGCATTTAAGATTTCAGACAAAGGGTATACTGTACTTCACACCTTCAACAAATCCGATTGCCACTGATTTGTTGAAGGTGTGAAGTACAGTATACCCATGTTTTAGGTGGAAAAACTTTTAAAGCAGCTGAAGCAGAAAACCAGGAGAAGGAACGTGTGACTAAATGTGCAGAAAACGACTGTGAACATGACAAAAGTAAGTTTTTTGGCTTATTCTTGAGACCAACCTTTCTAGAGTTATTTATTCACACAAATCTACCAAATTTATTGGTGTCAATACGAATTGTACGGCATAATTCAAATGCAACATCAATCCTCCAAGAAAGTTGCCTAAAAAGAATTGTGCACTTAGTACCTATTCCTTCCATGTAAGGAATTTAGAAAAGAATCTTCAGCGCATTTTCCGGGGGGTAATACACGGTGCCAAATTTACATGGGAGCGGGTTTTGTAGGGGTCAAGTTTTCTTCAGTGAAAATTACAAAGGCGAAGGGCGAATTTTTTGAAGGAGAATTTGCGGTGGTAAAGACTTTTCGGCCAAATTTACAGCATACTCCTTAGTGAATCTCTTTTTCTTTGTAATTCCTGCGGTCGGAGTATACGATCAATGTCCGCCTTAAAAACGATTTACTTTTGTGGCAATGGTTACATCACCTATAGTGCAGAACTAGAAGATTCACCAGGGAATGGACTGATTTGTGGTGAATAAATCACGTGATATATATAAAATTATAGCTCAGGTTAATAATAATCTCAACCCTAGCAAAACCATCCCTTATTAAAGCTTATTTGTGCATACTATAGTTTAAGCATTCTTTACTGCTCAGTAGTGATCCCCAGATATTTTTTCTTCAATGGCTAATTGGAGTAATTGATTTATTTAGTACATTGTCAAGAGATCTAAGGGAAAATTTGTATCGTTACACTCACTACACGGGGTGTTAGTTCACCGGTATTACAACAAAATGTCGAGGAACCAGTACATGCATATAATTAATTGCTTCAAATTTTATTTGTGATGTATATTTAATATCTGTAACTTAAAACAAAGTTACAGTTGACAAAACGTCAATTTTTACTTCTGTCATTTTGACTAACGTCGTGCAATGATCGACGAAGGAATTATTATTCAAAATATGAATCAATCAGGTCAGTTTTCTTTACTTTTGCATGTCACAAGTGTATTTTAGTTCAATTGTAACAAAATAAATCGTTTTCAGGTGACGGCGTCAAGATTTGCAGGGTTTGCGGGAAGTCTTCCGTTTCACTATCCGTCGTGACGCCGGATGACGATTGCTATGTTAATGCGGAGGAATGCATGCTTTATGAGGTATTTTTACGTATATTTTATTGTTCAAATTGAGCTCAATTGTATTTTATAGCTTACGTCTGCAGGGAAAAGTTTCTCTATTTGTGAGACGTGTGAATCTTTCCTAATCCAATGTACAAACGGAATTATCAATCACTTAACGCGATCAAACGTTCGCAAAACAAAGAATTGCCGCTGTTGCTTCATGTGTGGTACCATAAGAAATATAATAGAGTGGAAACTTCGTAACACAGAGACCGACTTTGCCGTTTTAGAACGCATAAGGCAACGATTTGGTTACGTGCGTATACACTCTTTGATTCCACTTCCTTTCAAATGCTCCTCTTTGTAGAAAAATGAAAATGACAAGGTTATCTGCATGCCGTGTAGAGTAGGATTTCTTAATCTGCATCGAATTCATTCTGCAGTGAGAAAAACAGAGAAAAAGCATATTGTGAGTAATATTTTCAGTTCACTTAATATGTTACCATCCGAAATACAAAACCATCAATCCCAATAACTCCTCAACAATAGCAATTTTATTTGATAGTAGGTACTTTTGCCAATTCAGAGTAATTTTTAGTATTGTACAAACGCACTTTACGAGCCGCAAGCAAGTGACGTCCATTCAGCAACACATGAGGGAGACGAAATTGGTTCCAATTTAAAAAATGAACGAATTTCGGATATCCATCCTGCTAACGATACCAAAACTAAAAAAGAAGTCAAATGTAGTACACTAATAAAAAATAGCAAAGTTACCCCCGGAGAAGAAACGGTTATGGGTAAGAACTCATGGGCGGACAGCAAATTGGCGCACTTGACTCCTGCTCTCACTTTAAATAAGGAGCAATTTGATTTTATTGGAAACGAAGCATTTAAAATTCCAGACGAAGGTAGTGACAATTCGAATTAGTGTGTGGTACAACGGTAGATCTATGTTTTAGCTGAAAAGACGTTTAAAGTAGTTGACGTAGAGAACCAACACAAGACTCAATGTGTAGAAAATGATCGTGAACGTGACAAAAGTAGGTTTTTTGAGTTATTTTCTAAACACGTCGTTGTTTAACACTTTCTTTAGATCATCTACAGGAGAAAGTGATACCATCCCCTGTAACTCCAAGGAAAGGTTGCCTCAAAGCTTTAAATGCTAATTCTGCGTATGGTAAGTTTTGTACAAAAACACTGCAAACATTTTTTTAAATTAGATCATTCTCCAGCGAATCTTTCTAAAGTTGGTGAATCGCCAAAGAGCGTGACCTGGGACGAATCCTGTAACCGGATATATTTTTATCATCCAGAGCCAAGTGCAAGCATGCCTCCAATAGGCCTTGAGGAGGTAGATTCTCTAGAAGACTCTTACACTGACTATGACGCGGAGGAATCGGATACCTCTTATGAGTTAAGCAGCTCTGAAGAAGAATTTTATTCCTCGATTGCCGGCAAAGATAATAGAAATGCAAGAATGCTCAGTAACGAATATAAATCAAAAAGTAAAGGTAACATCGAATATAAGGAATAATGCGCTTGAAACTGAATCGTATAGGTACACATGGACATGGGGCTGTTCTTAACCAACCAATGATAACGTCTCATAAATGTTGTACAGAAACGTGCCATTTATCTAATACCAGTAAGTGTTAACTATAGTTCAAGTTAAAATATTGCTGCCCGTTATTCTTATTACAGATGAAGCTAATTTTGTCACGTGGCTCAGGAATGTGACTGAAGTATGGAAGGATATAAAGAATTGTTCATGTTCGCATAACCAAGGCGGCGTAAGATGCATTCAGGGTAACGTATTATTGCTAAAATCTTTAACGTAAATAACAGCGTCCCCTATATTTATCAGAACCGAATGCTGCAGGAGTTTCTGACGATGATGTGACCTCAAAGTACAGAACTCATGGATCGAAAAAACACTTTCATAGGTCGAAAAAACACATAAGCTTGTCAAGGAAGCAATCACAAACAGATTTAGTTCTTTTAAAGGACCAATCTTGCAACACTGACATAAACATCTGTTCAGGTATTCGTTGCCTTTTGCTTTAAATGCACTCAGTAGAATTTTTTAGACGGGGACCATTATCAAATGACTGGTGATATTGACAATGAGAAATATGTTAAAACTCCTTTAGTTAAAAGCACTCCCAACTTGTGCAGTGCCACTTACTACTATATAAAAGCAAATGCAAGGGAGTCTTACAAGAAAAATGTCCCTCTAACTCAACCAGATCCTGTACACTCTGCAGCAAGTTTCGATCTTCCGAAGACAAAGCATGTTGCTGACACCGATAGTACGCGAACTGAATTAAACTGTACCCAAACATCCACAAACCAACATCCAAAGATTAAAGAGCCTTTGCTAACAACTATCTTCAGTCGTTCTGGGAAAGGAACTCACAGTAAGTTTAGTTAAGGTAACCGACACTGGAAACCTTCACCCGCATGTTTTATAGGGGATCGACAAAATGGTGACCTAAAAAATCAACTGCCTTCCGAAATTCCTTTGGAGCCAGGATTAAATAAAGAAGGTAAGTGCATGAAAAAATGCCCCTGAGAATGATTTAAAAATTTTTAGTTAAAAAAATCTCCCCACAAAGTACACAGTTAGATGGTGCAGGTTATTCACTAATTTCGAAAAGCAGTACAACTGAAGCAAGGTGTAAGTCTATGACTCAGCAAGGGAAAATCAAAACCAGTGGCAACAATGAAACCCAATGTAATGTTGAGAACTCAAACCGCCATACAATGAACGAATATGAGGATCTTGCCCCACTTCTTGATTCAAACGATCAAAGAGTTGAAGGTAAGTGAAAGAAATAGATATTTGACAGTCATTTAACTTCAACAGCTCGAACGATTCCTGCGGGTGCTTTTAAGAAGAAAACACAAGAACGGGATCGTGATCGTCATGCAAAAGGCGATATTGACATACATCAGAAATTGGAAAGCCTTAAATGCAAACTAGCACATCCCAAAAATGAGGGTAAATGACAAAGCATTAGAGACAGATAAATCATGGTAATTTACAGGTTCAACAATTCAAGGAGGTTGTGAAATGGCACAAGATACTGGTCGTGAGATGGAAATGGCAAATGTAAAAGAAGGCGACGTGGATACTATATCATCTGATTCAAATGATCCAAAACACAAAGGTGTGGTTCGGCAATAGCAATAGATCAGTAAATCGTTATAAAAAATTTCAGCTCAAAAATTATTTGAAGCCATAATAAAGAGGGGTATTCCTGAAAATGTAGAAGAAGAAGAGACCAGCTGTGAAGTTTACTTGAAAGAGCTGTTAGCAGAAAGCCTGTCAGAGAAAGCGTCAAATAACAAACATCATGTAACTGAGGGTAATAGAGAATCATAATTGCAACTTTGTGAATTACTATTTTAACAGCTGAACCGATAGGCGAGGTTAAAGATGACAGCCCAACTTACGCAAGCGACACAAGTTGCGATGTTTCATTGGAACACGAAGCTATGCCAAACAAAATGGAGGAAGATAACCAGGATGACCTGAACGCAAAGGGTTGCTATTAAGTTTTTGTTACGAAATTATTTATTCCAATATTTTAGCTCTATCAATCATTTCCTTGTTGAATAAAATCCGGTCTTCATCTGATGTGGTTGTGGGCGAGTCAGGTGTGGGCGAGCCTGATGGTAACGAAAACACAAATATTGAAAACACCATTCAAACGTTATGTAATTTATACGTTACACGTATAGCAGTTCTTCTGAATTTATTTTACAGTTTCGATGGTGTCCCAAATGCAAGCTTCCAATAACTCCAATGAGGAAGAAGAATACATGTCTCAAACAGAAGAGTATTCTCAGGGGGATGATGATTGCACAGCATCTCAATGCAGCGACATGGATCGCAGTGACGATTTAGTATTCCCTCACCAAGCGGGTTTTCCAAAAGGTAATACATGTAATTGCATTGCGCTACCCGAAACCAAAACAATATTTAAAACTAAATGCTTGTTCAGATTTGCAAATATAACTCCATATACAGTATGTTCCTAAAGTCAAAACTATTGCTAACTTTCTTATTATTGAAGCTATGAAGAAATTCGCAGGATTATATTGGTCAAATCAGAAAAAACATTTGGGCATTGAGTCATTAATAGATTCAACTTTTTTATGTAACTCTCAGTTTGATGAGTATTAGGCAAATACTCTAATGAACTGTCATTGTTTTTACTGTGAGCATTCATTGTATTCCCTTTGTTGAACAATTTGTTATTGTCTTGAATATCTAATGCTCGTTTTTCCACACGAGTCCACATCAGTGGGAATATATTGTATGACATTATTTCTAGGTCCCAAACGTCAATGATCCAGTAAAAAATGAATGAAAAAATCGGGCTACAAGGCTCGACTGAAAATTTATACCTATTTTCTACAATCTTGTTTAAATTTATTATGATTAAAATATATTATTTACCATTATTGCGTAATTCTATTGAGCGATTTATAAATGATGGTAATGGAAACCATCTCTTATAAACCTGTGAACTTTCGGATCCTGTTCCGAACTAATAAGCCCAAATAGATTGTTTCCGCTTGTTTAGGAGGGAGAACCGTGTGCTATCGGTGATGCGGTCGGTACTTTTGTGGAAGAGCAAGCTTCTACTTGGATTCAGCCCCCCCCCCCCCCACTGATCAGAATTACTTTTTTCAAACTAAATTTTGTACTGGAATTACGAGCTATTTAAGAGCGTTCATTTACAAGTAATTTCGATTTTTGAGCGCCACTCTTAAAATAGCAAATAAATATAATCGATGGGTCGGCCAGCTGCAGCTTGATCAGCATCTGTATGTTCTTCTGGGCGAAGGTCTGATTCTACCATACCAGTGACCCATACGTAATAACTGGTATAATTATTTTAGTGTATATCCAGGGACCTTGTGACGTTGTTCGCTATTTTTTCCATTTTTGATTTGAAGTTAGGCGCTTGTGATGCCCAATTATTTACCTTCTCTCACTACCTGTAGTTGGGTGCCCTACATTGCAACGTCCTTTAGCTTTGTCGGCCCCTTTGTACGTGAGAAGAGGTTTGTTTCTGTTGAATTAACAGACAAGCCCTCTTCTTCGCACTATGTCTCCTCAAATTCCCTACGTACTACAATCACTATGTCATCGGTAAAGGCAACACTGTGGTGTAGCTCTTAAAAGCTCGTAATTCCAGTCCAAAATTTAATTTGAAAAAAGTAATTCTGATCAGTGGGGGGGCTGAGTCCAAGTAGACTCGGCCACCCCATAAGAAATGTTCGATACCTAGTGATTAAAGCGAGCTCTAAAATTTTAAGCCTGCGATATGAAAAGCTCCTAAATAGCTCATAAATTGGATACCATTCTTAAATTGATTCACAATGGTGGGGGGTCCAGCGGGGTCTATTGGACTACTCCGGTTCAATTAAATAAAAAATAAATAAACAATACACATACCAGTGTGATTATTTCGAGAGTGAATAATTTTGAAGTCGTTAAAAGAGATTTTAAAACATATGGTAATTCGGAATATACTAAACTAATTAAAGGTGCGAACTGTGGGAGAGCAAATAAATGTGAGTAATCTCAAAATTAGTTGACATTACGTACCTTTGTTCTTAATTGGACTGATAAACTAAACCCCCCTATTTACACGGATTTATTTTACAAAAATGTTAAAATATAAAAAAACAGCAAAATAAAATTTCACAGACTTTTTGAGGTCATACTTCATATAGTCTTTATTATAACACTAAACTTCATTGTGCATAAGGCTGACGTCCATTTTGGTCACCAAAGTAGCCAGATGAATAAGCGGCGGCACGGGCCTCAATGACAGTATCCGTACCAAAGTATATTGGTTGATTAGTTTGTGGTTTGTTGTGACTACCGACGTGAAACCTACTAGCTTGCTCAGGCGCAACCCTATGATTGCTTTCTGGTACCTGGGCTGAAGTTTGTTGCGGTCTAAATGATTCGGGATTCGGTCTCCGTTGACCAGGATTTTGATGATTTATGGGCCTTTTGTCCAAACTCAGTGGGGCAGGCTGTAGTTTAGTCTGTTTGTTTTGCTGAGGTTGCGAGGGTGTTGTGAAAATGGTGTTGTATACCTCTTTAACTTCATTTAATCTTCCCTCGAATAAGATGTTCTTGGTTGCAGTGTGATAGATAAAGAACAAGAACGGACGATCTGCGACGAAACGAGGCATTGAAGTTCCCATTAGTGGAATCACTATGACACCTGTAGCACCTGCTGCGGTTGTCCCTTTTTCATTTACTTCAATTTTCGCTTTGTGAACGATGTGGTTTATTTTAATTTGTCCTTTTTGGATGATCCCGCTCAAGTTGGCAGTAGGACCAAATATTTCTTTAATTCCTAACTGTAAAATTTACATTAGTTTGATGATTGTTAATTTGATAATTGCTTACTCTTTCTAAATCAGAAACCATGTCCGCACTGTATTCGATTTCGAAACTTGGTAAATTAACAAAGACTTCAGTAGGCTCTAACATATTTACAATAGATTCTACAGTCATAAACTTCATGTCTCTAATTAAGAAATCAACTGACTGTTGTTTGCTGGGTAAAACTACCAGCATGGAATATTGTCCATCCTGTAAAAATAACAATTGTCTACTTGCTTTGTTGTCTATATGTACATACCCCATATGGCAAAGAAATAGCTTCTGCGTCTAATCGCTCTATATATTTGTAACTGAAGTTTTCTACAATTTGCATCATTCGGGTATTTATGCACCTGTTCTTTGAATAAAAACATTTGATAGAGGTGCTGCCCTCGTCAAATTCGTTCTTCCACTTCCCTTGGAAATATAAGGCGTTTACAAGAACAATGGTGGCATCCGAATTGAAGTTAGCTGAAAACCATTTGCAGATAAAGTGGATAAAAACGTTGATTTACCTGGTGAGATAATGTCTGTGATAAGCCCGCGCGTTTTCTCAGAAACCCAACCATTTATTAATCGTGCGGCATAATCGTTCTGGGAGAAGTCGATGGTACGCACTTCAGCTTTATAGTGAGTTCTAAGAGTTCTCTCATATTCTGGTACGACGCGGTAGAGTTGAGAAATAAAGGCTCCATTTGCGGATTCAACGACTGTAGTTCCTTTTTTTGACTAGAAGGGCGAAGAGTTCAGTAAATGTATCACAGGAAGATTCACACATACATTAAAATCGTATAGAATACTACCTATGCGTTCCCTATTGATGTTGGAATCGGTAATTCGGAGAGCTCTGATAATTTCTAAGGCGCAGCTTCCTCTTGCACCTTCAAGAACCATAGCAAGAGTGGCTTTAATACTTGCAGGAGAAATAAAATAATTTTGCTTATCGTCAAAAGACTACGAAAAAGAAAACTAAAACCCTATGAAGCTTAAACTAGCACAACTTACATCCAATAACTCCATATCAAAAAAATTAAATCTCGAGTATTCTGCAGATGATGCAAGAAGTGGATCTAGTGAGGGGAAACTCGGACGTTGAGCTTCACTAGGAACTGAAAACAGAATTAACAATGACAAATTAGAAATAATATTCGTGTTTCTTTTGTACTAATGCCGACAGTAGGTAGGTATGTACGGAAAATTAAATGGAAAGCATGGGTACCTACAACTACAACATGAATATAATTCAAATATTTCATTTTTATACAAATTTGGTTTTCCCGATCATACTCTCAATGTCAAAATATACAAGAACCGGTTTATAAAAAGTTAAAGAATACAAAATAGTTGTAAAATGAAATGAATATAAATTTCTTTACCTCCCAATAAAAGAAAAGCCAGAAAAATCATGGTCACCGGTTTTACAATGCACAATTACCGTAATTAATATTACGAGTTGAACTAACGACACTTGTTATCTATATCATTTGTGTGAACTATAAGTTTCTACGAACGTATCAATGCGTTATGAACTTACTGCGATCGCACTAGTCGCAGTTTTGTCAGAGAACCTTGGAAATCCCGTGCTACTGGTAGGTGAAGTTAAGTGTCAACAACACACGTCATTTTGTATTCCCCCATTTTAAATTGTTTAATTAATTAAACCCACTCAAAGCAAACGCTCCAAAACTTCCGTTCCAGAAGACCATAACTGTGCGCTTTTGGTACAAATCTGCTACGCTGATTAACCATGGTCGGTAAATAAATATTATTCGTCTAATGGCAGACACGCCAAAGTATTGTGCAATTTGAATTAACGGACCGTGAATAAATGCAGTTACTGACCTATTTAGGACCAATGACATATTGCTCTCCCATTTCGTAATATAAAAAATCGTGCCAGTCATATAAGACACAAAAATTAACCCCGAGGCGTCGTATTTAAATCACTTGACCTTAAAGAAAAATTTCCCATTCGACCGAAACCTGACCGACATCGCTTCTCGTCGTTTGTGTTGACGTTGACGGTGTGTTTTAAAAAATAACTTTTCATTGGTGAATGCGGAAGTAGTCGTAAATGGTAGATGGACAAAGCACTAACCAGGCCATTGCGCTAAACCTTGTCAGAACTGATCCAAAGTATGACGATCGGAAGGACGTACTAAGCGTTGAACTGTTTGGACCATTTTGACTTGCTGCTATATCTCAATAAGATAAATTTTGGTACTACCTATAGTACTTTGTGTTTATTTCAAATTCATTTGAGATATTATTCTTGGTCATGGTCGCATCCAATGGATGCCAATGGAACAAACAGAAGAATAGAATCTTAAGGATCCGAATGATACCACTCTGGCACAGATGAACATTCAGAAAAATCAAAATGGCGTCAAAACTATAGGTTGAATCACGTATCCTCGCAAAAGATAAACCGCGTGTGAGATGTTAGTAATTGATTGCCTAGATTTCATTCAAAACCCGTCAACGGTAAAATTTATGCATGATACAGAATCATAGGTATTGTTAGAGTCGACAGTTACAATGTCATTAAATGAGAAAAAATGGGAAATCAGTAACGAAAAAATAATGTTCACGTGCACTAGATTTTGAGAAAATTATTTTTCTCCCTTCACCCTGTACAGGAATCAGAGGTCCTCAACGATATTTGGTGTGCTAGTTACTTAAATCTTTTTGGATGTTTACATTTGGTTCAAAACAATGGATTCGATTCCTTCTTTTGAATAATTTGTTCGAATCACCAATCGCATCGGAAAGTCGGAATGTTAAAAAATAAGAAATTCACGTTCTCCTCATGGCTGCACCTGAACATTTACTATAACCACGGCAACAGCTTCGGCTTTTAGAAAAGTAAGTTATCCGCAAGAAAATTATTGGCCGTGTACGACATGGACATATGTAAATTCAGGGTAAACTTTGAAGAAATAGATTTTCAGTCACACATCCGAAAGGTTCGTTTCTGAAACACGCCCAGTTAAAAATTCGATCCTTTGCTTCCTTACAACCAGGGTATATTCTAACGTGCAGTTGGACACAATCTGTGCAGTTGGAAATGAAAATGTGCAGTTGGAAGACAAAAAAATGTGCAGTAGAAAATTTTGTATTTAATAAAAAAAAAATGAAGAAAATATTATTAAAAAATTTGAATGTAACTCATAAAATGGAATGGAACACTTATTAATAAAATGTGAGATGCTGACAAGTCAGAGAATATCTTTTTTGTTTTTGTCTTCTGAGCGTCATTTTGTTCTGACGAATCACGCTTATTTGCAGCTTCTTTGAAAATTCCTTTGAAGTACCCTTGTTCTTTGGCTTTCGTAGTAGCTTTTACTCTATGCTGTTTTTTTTTCAACCAGTATAGAACAGCTGGCCTCAGGCCTAGGATCCCAGTTGGCGAGATCGGGCATATTGTAGTGGATATACAAGAACAAAAGACTGCTGTTAGCCGTTTGCGCGCCTGCGGAAAGATATAAACACGATTTCCGGACCGGACTCGACCAGACCAGCCTTGCCGGTGCCGTTAGTCCGCGTCGTTTGCAATTATAGCAAAGTGCTGAAAAATCCTAGAAAATTAACTTTTGTGCAGTTGGAAAAATTGCTTAGAATATGCCCTGC